CGTTTCAATTCTCTCCCCTCCTTTTTTGAGCCACTGGCAATTCTCACCCCACAACTCCAAGCAATAGTCACCTAACAGGTTGCTATCTTATTGGGTATAGAGCAACACAAATTTTAAAGAAAACTTTAGGAGAGGCAGATATTGTGGGGAAAAATGCCACTTATGTCTATTTTGCTCATCTGTTTTACACAGACTGAAGGCTGTCCCTTTCCAATCAATGATTCCAGATATTAGTTAACAAAAACCACAGAGCAGAGTCAACTTGTCACTGGCCAGCCCTGGTCTTCCCTCTCCCAACTGGGCAGGTGCTGTTTTGATGGGATGGCCCAATTATGCTGCCAGCACCTGTCTAAGGCTGAATCCACCATCAGGAAGGCAGGCCCACCAGAATGCTTCTGGGATGACAAACCTCACCACAAGAGCAGGGGTAAGGCAAATGTTTCAGAATAGGAAGTATTTCAGGGGCACACTTCTCCAAGCTGGTAGTGGTCAACCTCATCTGGAGAACCAAATTACTAAAAAAAAAAAAAAAAAAAGAATTAAATTAAATACAGTTAAAAAAAAAACAAAACCAGGAGCAAAAGACCTTTGGATTTCCAGTTTCTTTGATACATTCTAACCTTTTAGGAATGTGAAATCTCAGTGGACTTTACAAAGCACATCAGCAGAGATCACTTGAAGGGGAGAGGCTTAACAGGCCTCATCGTGGGGACCAACGAGAGCAGAGAGGACTGAGCGGTACTGCTTTTCAGCCTGTGCTTGATATACTCTGTACGTTCATCCTCTATCCTTTCAATTGTCAATAACTGAAGGTTTAAGGCCCAAGGCAGCTGTCACAAGCAGAAATTCAGTAACATCCCAACTCTTACCAGGCTCATATGGATTAACTCTTAAGAGATCAACAATGTAGATATTCTGGAACAACTGAATTTGAGATTCAAAAGGAAGGCCTCCATGTCACACATCAGCCTCTGCCAGAAGCACATCATCTCTAGTACAGTGGAGCTGAGAACAAGTTCCCCTGACAGGCCAAGGCCACCTCCCTTGGTAACAAGTGCAATCACCAGATGATACTGTTGATAAAACTCTGCTTCACTCCACCATCCCACACAGGAGGCAGGGCATATTGGATCACCATGACTCGCTGAATAAATATGCCCCCCGTGAAACGTGTCGGGATCTCTCTGGACTGGAAAGGGTTAACACCACAACTGGTAAAAAATTTGAAATAAAAAAAGTAAACAGACAGCCTTAAAATGTCTAAACTGCAAACAATGGTGGAGTTAACTGAAAAACACGTGCCCAGGATAGTACATGCGTACGAGGGAGAAACTTAACACTTGGATCTGGTTTGTCTTTATGTGGTTTTAAGTGCATCTCTTGTCGTTGCAGTATCTATGAGGGATATTCAGCACATCGACAACGTCTCTTTCATCTCGTCCAACAAGTTGCTAAGCAGGGTGGACTCGTTACACTTTCCATCTACAGAGACAGAATTCTCTCCCTTGAAAAGAGAAAGGCGAGGCTGTTAGCTCCTCCTCGATCACAACCCGGTTCTACACCCAACAGTCAACAGTGGCTGCTGCATACCCAAGGTTTGCTCTGCCACCAGGGACTGCAACTACGACAGTTTCAGTTGCCTGCACAGTCCCTTAGACAAAGCAGCAAAGGAGAAGCCCGATTAGGACAGCGGCCATGAACCCTGCTCTTCTCCCTTGGCGCAGACTGGGCAATATGGTTGTGTTTAGCTCACAGTGCTCTAGTACCTCTGCCAATTCTGAACCCCTGGGCAACACGAACCGAGGTTCATCCGTGTCGGCCCAGATCTAGGCATTCAGGAGGGCCACCAGGTAGCTGGGCTGGCAGAAGCCATCTAGAAAACTCACCACGAAACATCCCCAGTTCCCAACTTTTCCCTTAAAAAGGGTACAGATTAAGTCAGTCTCTACCTGCCTATCCCTTTTCAGAACTTACCTTTTTTACCAGTAGGCAAACATGATGACCTTGAATAGAACGACTGTACATTGATGCACAAGAATCAACTCGTTCCACAACTACAAAAAAAAGAAGTCATTTTTATCCAAAAGCCTTTTCTACCACCATTTGCTTCCACTAAAGTATATTAGTTTAGGACCATGCTGTTAACGGTGACTGGCCAGTGCATCATTACAGTCAGGAGGGAGGAGTGATGTGGTCTGGATGCCTTTCCTACCTATTCGCTTTTTCAAATGGGTGCAATGATGTTGAAGCACTGAGATTAATTCACAAATTGCCTTCTCACAAAACTGCAAAGCCTTCTTTGCTGCAAGAACTATTTGTGAGGAAACAATTATTTGTCCCGAAAATCAAACACTGGCCATTCTAAAAAGCCAAGAAAAGCCCTCTAAAAGCCATTTCAACTCACCCATCTGTGTAGTCAGGAGAAAACAGACTCCACATCTTTGCCCGAGAATTGCCAGCACTTCCAAGTTAAAGTACCAACTCTCCTCCCCACCCCCAGTAATTAAATGTAGTACTGGTGAAGGGTTAGACTGAAAGCACTGAAGACTGAAGCAACTGTGCAAAGAGCAGTGACAGCCAACAGCAGTGCAAGCTGCCCTTGCCCCACCAAACAAAAGGAACCATCGATCTACTGGGATCCTTATGGGTGCTCATTTTGCGTGGTCTTAGGCTTTGATGGGGACACCTTGCCATTCTAAAACTCAACCAAAACTACTTCCACCCATATCTAATTTCATATGGACTATATTTGATCTGTGATCACAAGCTAAGAGTACTTCCATTCCCTGAGCTGAGCTACTCTCTGGGCATGTCTACACATGCATTAATGAGCACTTCTTACTGTGCATTAAGTTTAGTACCTGTAATAATGGGTACTAACTCAATGCACAGTAACTGGCATTACTGTACAATAGCGCCGACGCACAGTCTTTTAGTGATAACTAATGCATAGCAGACTAATTCTATTGAGCATTAGTGCAACAGCACGGCTTTTGCCATGACACGCGAATACACAGTAGAAATAGTTTACTACTTGCTTAGCATCTTGTGTAGACATGCCCTCTAGGTATTTCAACAAAACTTGCAGACAGCTCTACACCGGGAACTTACCTGAAAAATGGTGGTGAAAACAAATCTTTGCCAGTAGATGTTGGAAAGAAATGCTAATTCCATCTACTTTTATAGAATTCATGTGCAGATCCCCAGACTCCAGCAGCTTGGCAAAAGCATCGCTGTGAAAACATGAAGGAGAATAAACCGTTGGCTATGAACTCAGGCTGGTCTTGGCCTTGACAACACCATGCAGGCTTTAACGAATCTAAATGACGCAGCAGTGTGGGTGCTGTTAAAAATCTAGTGGGACACCGAGGCTTAGGAGAGGCACTGGAATCCACACTCCAGACTGTATCACAGTATCTCCGTAACAGAAAAAAAATTGTGGATTCCTCATCGACCTCTGCTAGCCCATCACGTGCACCACTGTCCACGTTGGTTTCAGAGGTAATTGGAAATGAGGGACAGACATTTTAATAAGTAGGTCACAGTTCCTTCATAGAACAGAAAAACTGCAGACAGAAGCAATCAGCTGGAAAAGTCAGAAACATGCTGCACATCCTGCAAAGGCAGCCCACAGCCAAAGCTCAGCTTCATGTGGGTGGCAGAGACATCAATGCTGTGAGGCACAGATAAGGCAGCGAGCCCCCTTAGGTGGCACTTACCTATAGCAAGGCGTCGTGATCAAGTATGAAGCGCAACTGAAGTGCAATTTGAAATCTAGTTTTTCATGGGTTGAACCTTCATCATTCTGCAACAGGTCAAAGGAGAGGAGATGAATGGGAGCCCAGAGGCAGCAAGAGGAGGCCCCCACCCCAATCTACCAAACAGAGACGTGGTCGAAAGTCCACTGACTCTCAGTCTAAGCATTCCATTTAATGGACCTGAAGATCTGGTTCTGAGGAAGGAGAGTAGCAGAATACCTGCCATGTTTGGGTATTGGGCATTTGGATAAGGGGCCACCCTGGCGTTAGGGATGAGCTGGCATTTTTTGGGACATGTACACAGAGAGGGGTTAAGGGACATATTTTACAAATGAGGTAGCCAGATAGTTCTGACCAAGTTTTAAACCTGTGTCTGGTTAAAGCAAGTACTGAGCAGAGTGAATCTGTCCTGTTATCTTCCAAGATGGAGTATTACATCTCATTGCATCAAGCTTGTACTTGAGAAGTAGCTTGTGGAGTAAATTAACAATTCCTGGGTCTTTCCTAGGAACATGTTTGCTATAAAATTGATCAAAAATGAAAAACAGCTGAGATGATAATGGCCCCCTCCAAGCCAGCCATTTACCTGCAGCTCAGGTTGTGGCTTTAGGTTCAGAAAATTTAATGTTCAGACAATTTAAACAACACTAGAAACCAGCATATTTTGAAAACCAGACCTTGATCCTTACTAAATGGCCCCATCTTGCTCTCAGCTTTTACCCTGCATTAATAACATCCAGCTCCTATTGCCATTTTCCAGAAACAGGGAGTCTATACAGCAGTAGTGAATGGATCACCAGATAGGCTGGGGTCAGAAGGAACAGCCTCTGCACTGTTTCTCCTTCCAGCTGGCTGGGCAGCACCATCGTAGATGACCTCCCCACCTTCCCAGGCAGATGTCTCCCCAAAGTGATCCTTAAACAGATAAAGAGCAATGGAATCTGAAACGTCTGCCACATACTGATGGAGTGACACCTTTGGACATGCTCATTTTATGCTCTGGATGCTCTTTGCACAAGATGTCATGTAAAATACTTCTCACGTTGCAGAATGGGCTGATTAGCAGAGATGAAATGATGCCTCAGAGAAGCTCCAAAGCAGTGCCTTCTACCCAAGTCAAGCTGCCTTATGCAGTCCCAAAGGAAGGCAAGACCACAGAGTTCAAAACTGCACTTACTTTGACTATAAAGGACAGTGTTCCTTTTAGCTTCTGAGCCATAACAATGCTCTGAAGAGTAAACACAAACTGGGCTTCATTAGAGATTCCTAGCATGGAGAAAGGAGAAAGTGGGAGTAAGGTCATGAGGAAAAGCTTCATATCTGATTATGAGACTTAAACACATTTCGACCACTGGCAACGTGCAGTGGTGCTGAAGCAGGAAATAAGCTCCTCTCTCATCTATGTTTGGAACTAGATTAGGCCTGAAATGTTCAAAGGAGCCATATGCCCAACTCCCACTGCAAGAGTTGGGCATGCGACTCCTGGGCCTCTTTGAAAACCACAACTTAGAACTAAGAGCATGCATTAAGTGGAGATATATTTAAATCACTTTTACTTCAATAGATGCAAAAGGTTCTGCAGCGAAAGAGCTTTACATAACATTCAAGTGTTTTCCCGCTTGTAATGATTTGCTGTTAACATTCAAGGGCATGTACCAGGTTTCTTTAAAATGATATCACCAATTGTTCTTCAATGGTGTACCCATCCAGGCATTTCAAAGTACAGTGAAGTCACTAAGCCTTAAAACACTCCTTTGAGGTACATATCAGTATCAATCCCAATTTCAAAATGAAAAAACAATGTGGTAAAAAAGTGAAGTAACTCAGTGCTCCTAACTGTAACAATCAGTGTCTTGTAATATTCGGTGTTTAAAGGACTCAACTCCTGGATTCTAATAATCAGGTGGAAATCTGCTTTTCATTACATGTTATCACTATCCATTTTTTTTTCAAACTTTTCTCCTCAGCCAGACATTTAGAAAACAGAAGGCAAATAAGGAATAATTTAAGCCCTCCTAATTATTAAGCCAGTCTCATGTTTTTTGCATGCTTGAAGTTGGCAGCACTGGTGATTGCAATTTCAATGTTTCTCAATCTGTGGCACAACTGGGAAGAAATCCTGATAGCCCAATTCCCAGTCCCACTGTTAGCTACTACTTTACTATGCCAACATGAAAAACATCTCTAAATAATTATGGTTCCTGAAGGATGGCTATATCTCCAATCACTCATCTAAGAGTCTAGAGAGACTGCAGACTAGGCAACGTCCTCACACAATCAGGACAAATCCAATTTTTGCAAATAGCAAACAACTTAGTTTCCTCTACAATGTGGAGTTAGACATGCATTGTGACCCACCCCCCACTGCAGCTGTACATTGACCATACCAGGGGGCAGCTGGAAGGGCACAGGTATCCCATCATGGACTGATGACCCTTCTGGCCGGATCATTTTAGCGTTGAGAGAGTCCAGGACGTTTAACTCCATGCTCTTCACGAAGCTGGTACTCTTGTTCTCAAAGATTACCGAGACAGTGACTTGACTGTCGTTCTGGAGATTTCCTTGAATATCGTATGTCTGCAAATGAAGACGTCACAGGAGGGCATTGACAACTACTCAGAGTACCCAATGAGACTATGCCAAGCTTCAGACAGCAGTGGATTAGACAGTTCAATATTGTTGATTGGCTTCCTAGTCTTTAAGTTGCACAGCAGGACAACCAAGCACTGGGATGGTATATGTAGATTTAATTAAGCTTTTGGCGATAGATAAAAAGCTATGGGAATGGATCCTGCTATGTGGATGTGACTAGTAATTTCTAGCGACTGGCACTAGCATAGTTTACACCATTACAATGCTGCCTAAGTAACCTCTGTACAGTATTAGTAGATTATGATAGGGATATCTCACTATATACAGAAAATACAAGAAGGGAGATCATACAGACTGACATATGAGCAATGTACTCACCATTTTAATGTAAGGGTTCTCAGCAAGAAGGTGATAACTGGACATAGGCTGAAAAACAAGAAGGACGTTACATAAAGAGTCATGTGGCTGGAGGGTAATGAACCCCACAAAGCACATGGGCTTTGTCTTTCATCCCAGGCATATCTTGAAGCAGCAAGCAAATGCCCTTCACTTATATGCAAGGGATGTTTTCTCACTCTAAGACCTCAAAGTACATTTTACTGAGCTCAACAGTACGTGCTAACCCTCAAAGCCCAGCACAAAGACCTTTCTTCGCCTTTAAGAAGTAAAGAAGCCAATTTCTTACACACAGGTTACACCAGCTCAAGCATGGTTTATAACAACTGGATGCAAGAGATAAAACAGTAGGCTGAAGGAGGAGGTGGGAGCCTATCTACCCTACTCAGAGATGAGCAGTCAATTCACCTAACAGGTCACCAAAGCCTCTCTAGAAGGGCTTAAAATACTTAATGTGAACTCTGTGCACAACCCCAGTTGCCGTTTCACTTCAACATACAATTGTAGAGCCCCAAACACTGATGTTTTTTAGTTTGGTTTTTTTTTAAAACCCATTTCCCATTTAATTTAAACAGCAAAAGTTTGTTCAGCTGGAGCATCCCCTTTACCTTTTGAAAAGAAAAGAACTTTGGCTGGGAAAGTCCCAGGAGTGGCTGCTAAGCTATGGTGTGTGGAGAAGGTGGTCACCTGGTGGCACCTCAAGTGCATTTCAGAGAGCTAACAATAGATTAAATCCTTCCCTAACGTTAAAGCTCCTTATTTGTTCTACAGCGAATTCTGCCGCTGTTACAAGGAAGGTTTAAGACCCAGTCTGTAGTATGAAATAATTTGGAAGGTCCTGAGGCTTAAGGTACAAGAGCTGCTCAAAAGTATGCAGCAAAAACCCATCTCACACCAGCTCTAGCATCTCTTGCCTTGGACGACTCCTTACCGGTAGTGGTTCATCATCTAGTGTTCCATTCTGTACTGACTCCACTGGCTCCTCCTCACTGTGATGATGCTTTTTCTTGGACTTCTTTTTGTCCTTGGATTTCTCCTCCTTTTCCTTCTTGTGCTTTTTCTTCTTATGCTTGGAAGATTTCTACCATGGAATTTAAATGAGTCAGCAATATTCTCTCAAAACCTACCACTAAGACACCTCTCCCAGTACTGATACTTCGACTTCATACAAAAGGGCTGGAAGGGACCTTCTGAATCGCATGGCGCCGAGACGTGCGGTTCCCTGCTGTAACTCATGGCACTTCACAGAAAGCACCGAGTTACAGCAACCCCCTGACCCAACAGACGCTCTTTTAAAAGCCTTCGATATGGTCTCCCATGATGCTCTTATAAAAAAAAACCTGAGGGATGGTGGGCTGGCAGAGTTCACGGTCAGGTGGGTTGGGAACTGGCTAAGGGGTCAAACCCAGAGAGTGTTAGTGGACAGGACTGTATCATCTTGGTGGAAGGTGGTTAGTGGTGTCCCGCAGGGTTCCGTTCTTGGCCCCGTGCTGTTCAACATCTTTATCAATGATTTAGATGAGGAAAGCACGCTGGCCAAGTTTGTGGATGGTACTAAGTTATGGGGAAAAGCAGTCATGCTAGGGGATAGGCTGCAGACCCAAGCACACCTGGACAAGCTGGAAAGGTGGGTGGAGCGGAACTGGATGCAGCTCAATAAGGATAAATGCAGAGTGCTTCATCTGGGGAGAAGTAACCAGCAACATGAATATAGGTTAGGAGGAGATGTCCTGGCCAGTACTTTGGCTGAAAGGGACCTCGAGGTTATGGTTGATCACAGGATGAACATGAGCTGCCAGTGAGATGCTGTAGTCAGAGCTAATAGTGTACTGGAATGCATTAGCTGATGCATTGCAAGCAGGGCTAAGGAAGTCATATTTCCTGTCTACTCAGTGCTGGCGAGACCCAAGACTCAGTGCTGAAGTATTGTGTCCAGTTATGGGTGTCACACATCAAAAAAGATGTGGAGAATCTTGAGAGGTTCCAGAGAAGGACCATAAGAATGATTAAGGGCCTGCAGGACAAACCTTATGAGGAAAGACTAAGGGAGCTGGAACTGTTCAGCCTGGGGAAGAGATGACTGAAGGGGAACTTGGTGGCTGTCTATAAGTATGTAAGGGATCAATTTTGGGAGCTCAGAGAAAAACTGTTCACTAGGATGCCCCAGGGGAGGACAAGGATCAATGACCATGAACTGTTAGAGGATGGTTTCAGGTTAGATTCATAGATGTTAGGGTCGGAAGGGACCTCAGTAGGTCATTGACTCCAACCCCCTGCCCCGGGCAGACAATCCCAGCTACGTGTTTGTCCGGTCTCCTCTTGAAGACCCCCAGAGTAGGGGAGAGCACCACATCCCTAGGAAGCCCATTCCAGATTCTGGCAAACCTTACTGTGAAGAAGTTTTTTCTAATGTCCAACCTAAATCTGCTCTCCATCACTCTGTGGCCATCGTTCCTAGTTACTCCAAGGGGTGCCCTAGTAAATAGAGCATCTCCTACTCCCTGCTGCCCTCCCCTGATAAATTTACAGGCAGCCACAAGATCACCTCTCAGCCTTCTCTTGCAAAGGATGAAGAGATCAAGGTCCCTCAGTCTATCTTTGCAGGGCCTTGCCTGCAGGCCACTGACCATACAAGCGGCCTCCTCGGAACCCTCTCGAGATTCTCCACATCCCTCTTGAAGTGCGGCCCCCAAAACTGGACACAGTACTCCAAATGCGGCCTGACCAGTGTGTCAGAGGGGAAGCATCACCTCCCTGGACCTGTTCGTCATGCATCTGCTAATGCATGATAAAGCACGGTTAGCCTTGTTGAGATCACTTCATCACATTGATGACTCATGTTCATCTTGGAGTCAACTATGACTCCAAGATCCCCTTCTGCTGCTGAGAAGGTCATCCCCTAGCCTGTAAGTGTGTTGGTGGTTCTTTTTGCTCAGGTGCAGCACTTTGCACTTGTCTTTGTTGAACTGCATCCTATTTCATTCTGCCCATTTTTCCAACCTGTCCAGATTAGCCTGGATCCCTTCCCTACCCTCTGGCATGTTAACTTTGCCCCATAATTTGGTATCATTTGCAAACTTGGACAGAGTGCTCTCTACACCCTTGTCCAAGTCACTGATAAAGACACTGAATAGCACCAGTCCAAGGACAGAGCCCTGCGGGACTCCACTGCCCGCATCTTTCCAGGTCGATACTGACTGGTCCACCAACCCTCTCTGGGTGCAACCCCTAAGCCGATTTGCCACCCACCTGACCATGTATTCATCTACAGCATGTGTAGATGCAAGGAAGGACTTCTTTACAGTAAGGGTGACCAGAATCTGGAAGACTTCCCAAGGAGGTGGTACAGTCCTTAACCTCCAAAGTCTTCAAGAAGAGACTGGACAGACACCTTGCTGGGATCATTTGATCTCAGCAGTATTCCTGCCCAGAACAGGGGAGTGCGACAATCTTTTGAGTTCCCTTCCAGCCCTTAATTTCTATGATTCTAAAGCCCTCTCCAGCCACGCGCTTCTGTTAGGCCACAGCTGTAGAGTGCTTTCAGAGGGCCGATTGCACAACATCATCACTTTTGTCAACGCCCAGTGTTCAATCCTATGCTAACACATGCAACTACATCATATAAGCCCACTCTACATACCTCAATAATGATCCTCTGGGCTGGGCCCCAGTGTGCTACTCCAGACTGTCGCCTACTTGGGTGCAGAGGCTCTGAACCCAAACCAGTCCAGTACAAGAAGAGGTCAGAATCTGTTTAAGTGGCACCTTTGACTAAGGGCAAAAGTTATGTCTTGACCATGGTTGGCTAATTGTCCCCTCTGGCTCAAAACATAACCCACTCTTTATTACTCAGTATTCAGAGGTCCCTGGGGACAAGATCTCTCATCAGTGCCTACGGCAGGGTTTTCTGAACCCCTCTGAAGCAGTCAGTACTGGCCATCACTAGTGACAGGTAGAACGCTGCTTGATCTAGGTTGTAACTCCTATGTTTTCACTTGCAATAATCTTCTAGTACTCATGACTACTGGGCTCAACTATAACCACTGACCTTTCCTTCATCGTCTTCCTCCTCTTCCCTGTCCTCCTTCTTCGGTTCTTCATGGTCTTCAGGTTCAGCTATGGCAGTGCTCACCTCCGGCTCACTCTGATAAGGAGGCAAATCAGAAGGCTATGACACTAACTTGAATATGGACAAAGCAAAACAACTGAATCCTGGACAGAATGGAAACAGCTTTAGAACAATTACTGTTGTAGCACTTTAGGGCTGTCACCATTAAAGGATCATCAATTTATTCCTGAAATAAAATGGTTATGAACAAGTGCACTGACCAAGACACAAAAAAGCTCATCCTAGGAACACGTCTCAAAGATCCCCAACGTTTCTACTTCAAAGTTTGTACTGAAAGCTAGAGTACTTTTAGAGCACTTTCAGATTATGCATACCCTTGGATCCATTAGTACTGCTAGCTCTTGGTTCACGCTGGAAGTAATGCTTTTGACAACAGTTTAACAGAAAACCCCTCCAGACCTCACTCTACTCCTTTACTTCTGGGTATAACTTAACACCTGCTCTTCAAATTTTGTGATCACTCTCGAGCAGCAGGACTTGAGCAAACAGATAAACTTCCACTGCTTCACGGTAATGGGAACCCATATGACCAGACAGAACTGGGGCCTTCAGCTCCTTCCCTCGGGACTAAACACTAGCAGTAATATCAGCAGTGACCCAATCAGAGGCATACCTGTGTCTGCGTAGTGGAGACAGGGGGCGGGGCAGGGGAGAGCCAGAAATCCAAGTCTTCCCCCTGAAATCCAAGGACAAACAAACCTTTAGAGCTGCTTTACATTATTCTTGGACTTTATTTTAGCAACTGGATTTCACTGCTGCCCAAACAAGCTGTTACTGTAATAATTTCAGAAGCAGAGTAATGAATAGTTCAAGGAACTAACTGGAACAGGAAGCATGTTTTTACTGCATAAAGCCATCAAAATTAGCTCCAACTAGCACCTTTGCATTGAGGCTCAGCAAAACAGTGTAGACACTAAGAATAGAGTCAATATGATGGCTGAAGTACCCTACAGCCCCTTCAAATAGTCACTAGATTGCAATCAGGACACTAGCTATGCAAGATAAGGGAAGCCTGTAACAGTGCAATTCTCCATGTAAACTGATCAGCAGAGAAAATATTCAAGACCTCAACATAGCCCACAACTTTTATTAACTGAAAATTATTATTTTTTTTAATAAAAAGTGTTGCTATAAAATGAAAGATGGGGGTGGGGGGTTCAAGAACCTTATGTGGTAGGGAGGATTTCCCTGGTTCAGAAGCTGATTCACGGACATTACTGACATATTCCTTCATTAGATCTGTGGGAAAGGAACACTGTGCGTTCTGCTGGGATCTGACATTTGTTGGCTTTCAGGACAAAGTGGTTATTATTTTTGTGTTTAAGCGGGGGGTCTAGACACGTGGCATTTTTAAGGTTGTACAAATTCAAGGAAATTAAAAAAATAAGTTAAAAATAATCATCTGTTGGTGTCTTATTAGCAGCCACATTTGACCATCGAAATATAAGAATTTTTTTTTACCATACAAGTATATTAGCTGCAACACAATGATCTAATCACAGGACATGCCTTAGAATTACCTTCTTTTCTTCTTCATCCACTTTTCTCTCTTTGTCTTTCTTCTTTTCTTTTTCTCGCTCTCTCTCTTTGTGCTTCTTTTCCTTCTTTTTGGGTTTCTTACTCTTTTTCTCTACTAAGGGAGCTTCTGTGTCTGGAGACTTGAGGTTCTCAGTATTTCTGTGTTTTTGCACTGGCAGCTTCTCACTATCTGCTAAGGGTCTTAAAAATGCATGATGAGTTACCTTCAATGAAGACCGTTTCCCAGCTGCCCACAGCACTTGCTGGATGCCCAGACAAGTTTGTGTTTGTAAAGATCAGATGATAGCTTCTCCTTAGAATGGAACTAGTCTCACCCACACAAACACTTCAGTATCCCAGGAGCGGCTCAGTTTTGCAGCAACAGACACTGCCCCCATGCATCAGAAGATAAATTAAATCATTCTGAGGGAACTGTGAGCTGTGATCCCTCTGGCACTCACCCATCAATTGATAATGACACACTTGCAGATTAAGTAACGCTTACAGAAGACACGCGCACACTCCCTGCACTCTTGCAAACCTATAAAGTAACCCTTGAGGGTAGGTGTAAAACAGGAGGAAATATTTGCAATAATAAATGTCACAAGCCAAGCAACACGCTGCAACTTTTGAGGTGACAGCTTGTCTTAAATCCTTGAACAAGAATTCTTTCTTAATCTTGCCCCTGGATAGGACCATTCCAAGTTTAATGGATTTTAAGTTTCTTATCATAAATATTGAGTTTCTGTGTTTCAGGTTGGAAGGCTGTGCTGAGTCAATAGCCCAGCATTCCATTAAAATGAGTTTCCACCCTATATCAGCGCACCCTAATTAAAAAAAAGTACTTAATAATGTAGCAATAAATACTATGCTGGCAACCCCTACTTGGACATAAGCAGCATAGAAACAAACATCCATCAGCTTGCCCCACTGTTGGCAAACTGGGGTGCCAGAAAGTAAAGAGAGACAAAGTCCATTAACTGTTACTTTCAGATGAGTTTCTGTTCAAATGCTGATTCTCGCATTTGAGCAGGCATCCATCATCAGTTCATGAAGACACTTATTGTTCTCATTCAGTTCAGTTTTTTGCTTAAACAGTACGAAGAACTGGACTTGATCCAACTTTACTTCAAAAAACAGACACTGTAAAACCAACAGGATCATACTGGTTTCATCATATGGCAAATCTCAGTTTTAGATTTGTTTTACGTGCGCCTGAGTGGTGATAGCAGTCAAGGCTCAAAGCAAGCCAGTAAGGATGAAGGAATCTTGCTCATAACTGGTTTTGTTGCTTTTTAATATATCCATGATCCTGCACACTTTTACACTGTCCCACTAAAAAAAACAAAACAAAAAACCAGCCAACCGTAGAAAGGCGGCCAACTGCTTAATGATATTCTTACCTGGAAGACTTCCCTGAAACCAGACTGTATGTGTGTGAGTGACACAGACATAGCAGTGCAAGCAGAGAGAGAAAGAGAGAGAAAGGATAGAGATATGAGAAACATGACTGGAGAGTGCAATGACTGTGGAAAGGGGAAGAGCACGGACAGAAGTGTGAAAGTCCAGTGATACCTCCTGGAATACTACTGCATTAAGGCAAGGGTGTAGTGTTTTCTACACTGGTGTGTTTAGCTCAAACAGGACATCTGTTAGGAATTCACTTCCTCTTTGCACTCTTCATTTGCAGAGGCAAACAGACAGGTGAGTATTTTAGGAATGAGCAGATGAACTACATCAGAACAGGGTTTTCAGTATCTCATACTTAACGGACAGCAGTCAAGATTTTTAGGTGTGAAATACTCATCCAATTTCTCTGGGAGTGTATGACAATAGCCAATATTTTAAAGCACATTTATGCAGCTGAGGGACATGAAGAACTGGCCCTAAACAGAACAGTCTTCATAGTTCTGCAGGAGGCATCAGTGGGTCATAAACCAGCAACTATATTTAATACATCAGCATTTTGTCAAAGAGCAGAAAAATCTGCGCACAGAGCTTTGCTGACTGTAATTATTAAAAGGCCTTTGAGAGGTTAAAGGTCTGTGGGAAAGCATGCTAGGTTCCTGGAGTTCCAACACACCCAACCCAAGAAGATCTTCTGGCAGAAGGGTTGCCCTTTTAAACAATTCCACTGGAAAGCAATTCAGACAAAGTAACAGTTGTGAAAGACTGAAAACCCCTAAAGGAACAGCATCTGCTTAGGACATATGATGCTGTTAAGTGTAATTCGCCATTTCTGGCTGCTCCAAGAACCCCAAATGCCAATAGAGCCATACCAAGAACTGACTTTAACGTGTGCTTTGAAAACCCTGAACAGAGAAGGTGGCAGTCCCTCAAATGCAGGCAAGAATTGATGGATTTGGGTAAATCTATGCATTGGAAGCTTGTTAGATTCATTCATGTATGTGTGATTCTATCTAGATGACTGGTCCCCTTAGTTTCAGGGGCTCCAGCCTCACTCACAAAACCAGTCTCTAAAAGGGGAAAAAAAAAAAAATCTACCCTGCCTAAGTGACGAGAAAAAGGGTGGGGTATAACAGATGCACTCCTGGTCTAACAGGGACAATGTGTTTTGCAGAAATGATGAGTGGGTGGTAGTGTTAGGTACTGTAGCTCTTCCTCAGAAAAATCAGTCCCTCCGCTACAAACCATTAGTAACCTTTACCTGATCATGGTGAGAGGGAAGAAAGGAAATGACATAGCCCAGAATTAAAGGAATAAGTGCAACCATAAACCCATCAGACACTGCTTCTTATGGGGCTTGGGTTTAGTCACTATGCTGAAGAAAGGACTGAAGGGAGCCAGATGGAGCCCACGGTCTGATGGCACAACTGTTACAAAAATAGAACTACAGTACAGAATGAGTTTGGCCATCTCACCTTGTGCAAGGTGGATTATGACCCTATAAAGCATAAGTTTTAAATCATCTTAACTTTTGTAGCCCAGAGCCTTTGTGCATTCTGGTTTACAAGCAAGAAAACCCATACATAATATAGTTTTGTACTTACTTATCCAGATCTATATCAAGGGCCTTATATGGATCATTGGGATCTTTGTCATCCTCATCACTGGGCAGTGCATTCTAGGGTGAGAGAAACAGGCTACTCATTAAGGAAATGAGCTGAGAGCACAATTTCAAGCCACAGGTAGAACATCCCAAACTCCACCTGAATACAGGCCTCCTTGCAATCAGATGTGAGAAGTCACATGGCCTGTCAAACTTAATCTAGCACTCTGTCTTTTATCAATGAATTTACAAGGAGAATGATATTCCCCATACATCCCCAGGATTTGCATTCCCACTATTTGCCCCAAGATTCATGTTACTCCAAAACAAATTTGGACTGTACAGCATGTACAGAATTAGCATGTACAATTCATTTTAGCTGCAAATCTGCTGACCACAATGCAAGTTACAGTCGCAGTGAAGCAACAAAGTATAAATGAAGTAGCTATGTGATTATCATTATTTTCATAGCAGATATGTATATCATAAGTTTTACCAGTCTTTTGTGTTTCCTCTGGTTGCAGCCTTTGGCTCTCTGCATCAAAAGTTAACGATTCCCTCTCCCTTGAAAGGGCAGGTCAAAAGACTCTCATTAGGGAACCCATATGCTGCTGCTTAGGCAGTTTTGAAATACTCAGGAGTCTCAGGCCATGATGACCCAACTGAGGTTGACAGTGTTTTGGGACACTTGGAGGGTCACAAAACCAAGTGCAATGTGCTGAGACTCCTGAGACTATTAAGCAAACAACTGACCTCTGGCATCTCCTCCGTGATGATGTCCACATGCTGGGCTGGGGCAATGTCTTCATCACTCTCCGTGTGTAGGGAGTTATGGCGGTGGTGTTTACCTTTCTTCTCTTTTTTCTGCTTTTTCTTCTTTTTGTCTTTCTCCAACCTCTGCTTATGCCTCCGCTCCTCTTCCAGTTTTACATATTGGTCAGACATAGGCATTCC